CCCTTTGCAGGACCCCTGTCTCCAGCCCATCTCCCCGTGGTGAGGTTGTAGCCAGAGCTCGGACGGCCGCTGGCACAGAGGACACCCGTCCTAAGCACCTGCTCGTACAGACCCAGACCATGGACGGGACAATCTGTGCTCTTTGGCTCTCTCTGCTGGCTGCAGTGCACCCCATTCCTGGGCTTCTGCTCAGCGATGTCCCCCCACATCGCACCCTTTGGGGATCAGGCTGCTGTGGGGAGCAGAGACGCAGGGAAAGAAATACTGTGTTCGAGCTCTGGGAAGAATCACAAACCCTGACAAGCACAAGAAGTAAAATAGGGAAGAAATGAGGTGGCAGCGAAGATTTACAAAAGAGCCTTGCAAATGTGACAGCCAGTTTCCAGGGGGATGCTTTTTCTTCCTTAAACCTCCGTCCTGAGCAAAAGGAGAGATTTCCCTTGAAGGCAGAACACGGAGCTGTGTAAGGGAGCAAACGCTCTACCTCGGGGCACAGCAGCACCGGGCTTATTGCTGGGCCAGGAGGGATTCACTGACTTCTGCTCTGTTCTCTGGGGGATGTGCTAACAAGGGTTGAGGGATGAGCAAGGGAGGGCCTGGAAGCATCTCTCAGCCCACCTCCTGGGAATGCTTTGCCAGAGCTGGAGGCCAGGAGCGCTTCCTCCCTCTGCACCATGGACCATGGCAGGCTGCCGGCTGCACGAGTCAGCTGCATGGGAGGGGAAGGCAGGCAGCGAAGAGCATCAGGAGGGATGCTCTGACATTGTGTGTGGGACCAAGTCCCTCTCTCTCTGGTCCAGCAGCCAACACAGGTGATGAATAAAGTCTGGATCTGAGTGCATCATTTTATGCTTTCTCAGGGAATCTCTTCATAGGATATACTGGGGTTCTTCATTAAATTCATTTTGTTAATTGAATGACCAGTTGGTTTTCTTTGTCAGACAATGCTGGAAATATTAGGTCATGGCACAAACGGTCATTTGCAATATACATATGAGAAAAACTGAACTTGGAGATTTTTTCGGGACCTTGTTAACTTTTTTGTGTTCTGCAAGTTGTTTATGGGGCAAGTCTCCTAAGACTGGGTTCCAAAAAGTCTTCTGAGGTGCTGACATAATTTGACCAAAGAGCTATTCTCAGAAGTGCAATTAGGTGTCAACAAAAAGTAACAAATAATTCCCTAATAAAACAAAGGAGGAAAAAATGCTCAGTGTGAGTTTTATTGCATTATTCTGGTGAGACGCTGTCAAAGAGTCAGAAGGTGTTCAGAGAGCAGAGAGTACAGTCTGTTCCTTTATCATAATAACTTTTATTGCCTAGGTATAGCTTTTCTCACCCTGGTCAATAAACATCCTATTCCTTTGCTTTCAGAGAATTAGGACTCACTTGCAGCAGCGAGTGCTTCTTTCCAAACATCTGATGCTGACCCATACAGGGGCTGGGGGTTGTTCTGGTACTCCCCAGAGGTGCTGGGAGTCGGGCAGGATGAAAAGGAAGAAGATTCCTGTGGTGAGAGCAGAGGTCTGGGAATCTGAGATGCTCCCCGTGGCTGCGGATCAGAGTGACAATGTAATGCTTGTTGGGAGCCACAGAGGCAGAGTAAAGGCAAAGGCAGTGCATAGCATCTTACAGGCTGCTCTGGGTGAAGGGGAGTTGTGCCCATGGGTCCAGGCTTTCGGTCTTTTCTGCAGAGCCAAAAGGAGTTAGCTGGTGGCAGAGTGGACCCAGGCTATGAAATCTGTATCCCACAATTATTTCCTCTGCACCACAGCTAGGACCACTTCAAGCTACCTGTCACCAACAAGCCTTCTGGGCCAGGGAAGACTTGCCTTTTTTACCAATTTGGGCTGCACATAAAAAAAATCCTGGCCTGCTTGCTAGACTGAATGACCCACCTTGGCATCGTTAGTTGCAGGGTTTGCTGCTGGGGATGGCTGAGAAGCTCATCACTGACTTCCCATCGGGGGACGTGTGTTTCCAGGCCTTATACAACCTTTTCTGGTTTTCATTAAAAGCAACTCTTCAGACAGCAGTTTCAAGCCCTTTTAAGTGGTTCCTGCACTGCCTCAGATGAATCACCAGGTTGAAGGTAACCTCCTGAAATGGGGATTGCTCTGGGTCTGCCCGTGACACTGGGTGCAAGAGAGGAGATGAATCAGCCATGTGTGGATCATCACAGCCCCTGACCTCCCTCAGGCCCGTGCTGAGGCTGCTCCTCCATGGAGCCTCATCTCTGAGCTGCAGAGAACATCGCTTGAAAACGTCTCATACCTATGTGCTTATTCCAGATTCAGCCTTGCCCAGCAAGAGTCTTCCCAGCCCAGGACACAGTTTCATGGTTGTGTGGCCAGGGATTAAATATGGTCATTTAATCTTTTTACCCTATAATTCCCATCTATCAAAAAGAAACAATAAATCTTTGTCTTTCTAGTCTTTTTAGCTCAGCAGGGCAAGACCATCTCTTGCATTGTGTTTGTATGGCTCCCAGCACCTGGGATTGCTGATGCTGCCGCAGTGCAATTACATGTGATGAGACTGTATTTAATGCCCTGGGAGCCATCTCCCCAAACTCCAGGAGCTCCTGAGTTCATAGAAGGAGCAGGTTTGTCTTTCTGCCTCTGAACTGAGGACATTCGCACATGCCTCCACCAGTATATCTTCATTAAGCTTCGCAGAAGCTGTCGTGACGTGACGCCAGCTGTATTGCTGATACAGGCTGGTGTAGCGTGTGAGTCATTCCGTCTTTAATTCCTACTTGTGCTTGAGGATCATCCACATCCCTATTTGTGATGAGTTTCACTCCAGCAATTGGCAGGATTTAACTCCCTTCAGAAGCACTGGCTGAGCATAGTGACCAAGAGGAAAAACCCTCAGGCGAGTAGTGGTCTATTTATATCCCATGAAAGATGGACTTGGTGTATAAAAATATTCAAGCTCCTGGCACCTCCACCCCCTTTCTGCTCCTGTAGCTGCTGTCTTAAGGTTGTCTCAGCATTGAAGAATTAGTTACTCTTTGAAAGCTAAGTGTACCTCAGTCAAGACAGGAGTGAGCAGCCAGGGATGGGGAGGTCTCTGCTTTACTGACTCTCCTAAAATGTGCTCCCTTGATGATGCACAGCAGCAAAGGAATCAGATGTGAGCTAGGACCGTTGCTTGCTCCTCAGACAGTCTGTCTCCACATTTTCAAATGAGGTCCTATTCTCACCCTGTCTGCTTTTAGGGCTGAGAAACAATCTACATTACCTGTGCTTCTCAAGTGTCTTTTTGGAGGCTTCTCCCTCAACAGTGCCAGCCCTGCCCCTCGCCCAAGGCTGAGTTAATCTTGCACCCTCCGCAGCTGCACCAGAAATCCAGGGGGTGAAAAAGGCTGCCCTATGTGCCAGGGCTCTCCCCCTCTCCCCCCAAAGCACTGGAGGATCACCGTTCCCTGCCCAGTCTGCAATGCACCCAGCTCCAACAAAGAGGGCAGAGCCCCTAACCCCACCGCACTGTATGCGTGGCAGTGGAGGCTGAGGACTTTGCATTCCCCCAGATCACACCGCAAAACCTATCCCTGTTACAAGGGAGGGGGAGCAGAGGTTCCCAGGAGCTAGGGGTACACAGGATCATGTCACGGGTGCAGGATCCAGCATCTCCAGCAGCTGCCAGGCAGAGAGCAGGCAGCCCTTAACCCTGCCTGCAGCACAGGGAGCTGCTGCCCTGCTCCAGGGAGGAAGGCAGCATCCAGCCCTGCCTCTGGGCTTGGAGGGACCGATGCCAGCAGCTCCCCTCCCCGTGCATGTTCCCCGATGTCCTTGCCTGTTGCCAGTGTGGAACAGCCCAGCTGAGCTCTGTGGTGAGTGAGCGTGGCAGGGCTGGGATTTCACATTGGCACTGGTATAGTTCCCGATGGCAAAGGAGCCACCTGTCCCCAACTTGAGTCTAACAAACCCCTGCCCACAGGGAGAGGAGATGCAGACCAAGAATAAAGGCAGTGGCCCATGAGCCGCCAAGAACCATGTCCCACGGAGAGCTATGCTCAGCACAGACCAGAGATGACTTAACGTGCCCTCACTTGGACAATCCACCTCCACCAGGGTCATGCTCAGCCCTCCACCCATGAACATCTCTAAGATCCCCCCATTCTTTACCTTTTCACATATGATGGCTACAAAATGTTTGTTACCTTTAATCCTGAATGATGAATTTCCCATCAAAGTGGCGCTATCCCCTAGGCAGGATGCAGGATCTACAGCTCCAACTCACCACGATTGCATGTCACAAACCAACATGGCCAGAAAAGGAAGAGACTCTGGAAAAGCATGAAGAATTTCTCTTCGATTGAGAGAAGCATATCTTTTTCCCAATGGTATCTCCTATCCTATTGAACCTTTTAATGTTGCCTTTGATGATGATGTAGTGGGTAGAAAAAAACACTGTAACCAGTTTATTAGATGGAGAGGGGCTGATGGCATGGGGTTAACATCTCCGTTTTACAGGGATGTGAAACCTCCCCCTGTGCAGCAGAACAAAAGAAAACTTTCTGAAGGAATCCCAGAAGCGGTGTTTGTCAGGGATGTTGCAAGGACTAAAATGTATCAGGCAAAGAAAACCTTTTAGTGTTTGTGGCTGAGAAAGGAATGAGGTATATGCAGGGTAAATTTGTACTGTGAACCACTTTTATGATCCCCATCGCTTGGAATACACAGCCACGATTTATAGTGATGCCTCTGGTGATGGGTTTAAATCCTCTAGACTGACTGAAGTGCCAGTGCTGTAGATTTGACTCAGCCACAATGGCAAGGATTTGATATCTAAAATACCACTGTCTCTCTAGGTCCCTTAGAAAGACCATAGCAAAAAAAAAATAATCAAAAATCACTTTAAGAGATATTGTGCATGTGTACATCAGTGTGCATGTGGATGCCGTTTGCTGCTGCTGCCCTGAGACAGGCGGCATTTTGAAGACGAGCAGCCTGAGAGGTTACTTTTGTTTTCTCATTGACCACCAAGCCTCAGCATCACTGTTTGAAACATAAACTTTATTGCAACAAAGAATTAAAAATAGTACATCTGAAAGAGTTGACGAGTGCATGTCATTAAAGAACTAGTCAGAAATCACAACTCAGGCAAATCGTGTACAATTGGAACAGAAAGTTTTATTAAAACAACTGGAAATCAAACTCAAATTTTCCTTGTTTGTTTAATTTCACCATAACCGTGGATTGTGTATTTACAGTCTTCGCCTCTTGTGGTGAAGGTTCTGCTCAGGGCAGGGGGCTAGGAAGAAGGCAGGGATGGATGGGGAGGAGAGGTGGGTTTCAAAAGCTAACAGGATGTGAAAGTTTTCCAGAAGAAGTTCTTGCAGCCTGCTTTGCGTTCCCGGGGTGCCAGAGCGGGGTTTGAGTTAGCCGAGCGCTCCAGCTCCAGTCTCACTTCATCCTGCTCAGCCCCCCGGGACAAGTCCTCAGACTCCAGGGCTTCATTTTCTGTCTGGCTTGGCTCTGAGAGCAATTCTGCCAAAAAGTACTTGGCTAGTTCCTTGGGGGAAAAGAGAGAGAAAGAGAGAGAGAGACGACAATTACTCCTTGGCTTTTTGGGGCTCACCACTCTGTCCCTCTAAGAAAACCTTGTGCCCAGATTAGAGACATGCAGGGCTCTGGAGGAGAAGGGGAGCCCTGCCTTTCCAAAGAGCCCAGCCCAACAGCTGCTACACAGCAGCTGTGTCTACGAAATAAAGCAGAGAGGAAGAGCGCTGACATCTACCTGGTGTGGGGAAGAGACGGCTGTTCTGGCCGCGGTAGGGAATGAACTCAACCGAGCACCACATCACGTTCCCTTCCCACCGCTCCAGCACGCTATGCCGGACTCAGCAAGGATGCCGTGAGGCTGCTGCTAAAGGGATGCGGGAAAGGTCTTTGGGGGAGCTCGCAGGGGAGGCTGTGTCGGGCCACGCTCTCACTGGGGGTTATTTTTCCTCTTGTTCCTCCAAGCCCTGGCTGCCCCCTTGCAAGGATAAGGACATCTTTCTGCTGCACCGGGGCAGGTGCCTTGGTTCAGTGCCCTGGAGAAGCCCTGGAGAGCTTCACCAGGAGCTCTGCCCTCTGCCCTGGCAGCAGCTGCTCCTCATCCCCCACCAGCACCCACCTGGGCTGGGCTGGGGGCTGGGGGTGTCTCCTCTATCTGCTCCCAGCTGTCACTGGCTCAGCCCTGGTAGGGAACCAGGGGATCTGTCAGGGAACCGGGGTCTGCAGCAAGCAACCGGGGCTCTGAGACGGGGACACTGGAGAGGTCCAGTGAGGAACTGGAGGTCTGCACTGAGGGTACTGGGGTGTCCAGCAGGGAATCGAAGGGGTCTGCAGCAGGGAAGCC